CTTTCAATTCTTTAGGTCAGCTGTTGATGTATAAATGATTATTGTTGAAAGTGTAGATTTAGATAAGAATGGTTAAACTTGTGCTGTTGCATTTCGAAGGAATTTGGCAGGGTTTGGAATGCTGGTCTTCTAAACAAGTTGAAAGCTAATGGCATTTCTTGAATTTTTTATCTAATTCAATCTTTCTTATGAAATCGCGAAATGAAAGTTGTCTTGAACCGCCACTATTCTAGAACATTTTTTTTATTACATTGGTCCTTATTTTCATCAATGACCTTCCTGATGTTATCAGTTCTCAATTCGGTATATTTGCTGATGGCAAAACTGATCGGTTCGATCAGATCAAAATGGCAGCTAATCTCAAAAATAACCAGCAAACTGATGTTAACCAGGGCAAACAATGGCACGTTCATTTTAACGCTCCAATACAAAACTGCTCACTTTTAATCGTCTTAGAGAACATTTTCTTCCTTTCCATCAGCATGGCTGATGCTAACCCCTAGGAGGCTGACTTATTGTGCCTATTTGGGCTAACGATTTCCGATTACATAAAGTGGAAAGACCATATTGAATCAATTGTTAGGTCTGCTGCTAGGAATGATCAAAATTTATTCACAGCTACAAGGCACAGGCAATTGTGGAGAGACACGGTTGTCAACGTACTAAATGGACACAGCACAGAGAAATAGAAGATATATCCTGGCTTAAATCAACATTCCTAGCAGGAGACCTAATAATTAAAACGTTAACTCGAGAAGTCACTCACCTGGAGGTTAGCATCAGTCATGCTGATCGAAGGCAAAAAGTTTCTCGAAGACAACTAAAAGTGAGCAGTTTTGTTTTAGGGACGTTAAAACTATATATATATATATATATATATATATATATATATATATATATATATATATATATATATATGTATGTATGTATGTATGTATGTATATATAGTTTTAAGGTATGTTATATTTTTAACTCTAAATAAATTTTGATCAAAGGCTCCTGATGGACATTAAATTCGTTTCAGACGTATGGTATTTTTTTCCTGGCAGGGATTACACACTGCATTATTCTCATGCACGCAAATTAAATTGAGAAGCATATCGAACAATTATATTTTGGAATGGAGTCACGAAATCTTAGAGAGCTTAAGGATGTGCTGCTGGTGTAATGGATAGCAACTCAATATGAGAAATCGGAGAGTCAAGTTCGAATTTCAATCGGAGTCGTCACTTACGTGCAAATATCCTTGGGAAAGGTATAACTCCACCTCCTGTCCCAATCTATGGATTAAATAGTAAGTATGTATCCGTAAAACTCACCGTTATTCTAAAAAACAATTATTAATTCAATATTCAGGCGCAAATGAAAAAATATTCTCACAATCCAAAAATATATTTCGGTTTAAAAATGACTCACAAAGTGTTGATAAGCCGTAAAAAACAAATCAAGAACTTACAGAGGTTGATCCTCACTAGATGATCTAAGATTGTAGCCTTGTGTCAGACTAAAGTAAACCGTGTAAATATCAACGTACTTGGATCGTTTCAAAAGATAAAATAAAAAAAGTTTTTTTAATTTTTTATTTATATGAAGGATTTTCATTCTTCGTCGCACTTTGATTTCTTAGGCAGAAACGCAAATGTAAACATCTCCAAAGAAAGGTCGTGCAACACCGGGGCTTATTTCAAAAAGTCGGTCGTGCAACACAGGGGCTTATTTCAAAAAGTCGGTCGTGCAACACCGGGGCTTATTTCAAAAAGTCGGTCGTGCAACACCGGGGCTTATTTCAAAAAGTCGGTCGTGCAACACAGGGGCTTATTTCAAAAAGTCGGTCGTGCAACACCGGGGCTTATTTCAAAAAAGTCGGTCGTGCAACACCGGGGCTTATTTATTTCAAAAAAAGTCGGTCGTGCAACACCGGGGCTTATTTCAAAAGTCGGTCGTGCAACACCGGGGCTTATTTCAAAAGTCGGTCGTGCAACACCGGGCTTATTTCAAAAAGTCGGTCGTGCAACACTGGGGCTTATTTCAAAAAGTCGGTCGTGCAACACCGGGGCTTATTTCAAAAAGTCGGTCGTGCAACACCGGGGCTTATTTCAAAAAGTCGGTCGTCCCAACGGCGTGAAAGAGAAAAAGAGAAATTTTGTGTATTTGAATCGAAAAAAGATCGATATGTTTTTATTCTTGCGTTTTTTGGAAATTGCATTTTAATTTTGAATTTTAATGAAATTGATTGCTTGGCATGAACGTGTCAGTTGTAGCTGCGTCATCATGTGATGGCGTCAAATACAAGAAGTGCAACACACCGGTCATTGGTTTATCAAGGACCATTTACCCTTCAAAAGGACAATTCACAAATAACCCGGCGTTAAGCGGGGAGATTTAACGATTTTTAAAATTCGCACGGTTCACTCCGAAGAAACAAGTCTCCCCCCACTCCATTTGGATTTCTAAAAAACGGCATATTAGATCAAAGAAATTAATTTTAGGCACAGGTCGAAATTTAACTGTGAAATTAATTTGAGACCCTCCACATTTATATATATATAAACATCGACATGTTTTATGACTTTTTTGAAGGTTCTTAAATTTTTGATAAACCAATGCATCCTTGCTCTTGTTTTAAACACATGCAACAAAATAAATCCTACATTTGATGAAAAAAGCCCCGCATGAAACGTCGACTAAGAATAGTTTTTTGACTTTTTATTCATATATATATATATATATATATATATATAATATATATATATATATACTAGCAGTAGAGGCCCGGCGTTGCCAAGGATATAACAATTTAAAGATAGATCAAGTATCCACCATCATAAAGACTGAAAAATAAAATTGACAAAGGTTATTGTTTAAGGTTGACGGACCATGTTTTGACTTTTTTTCAATTGGTCAAACCCAAACTCAAACAAAAACATTGTTTTCAATATTGGGTCTACCGATTGAATAGAATTTTTATTTTAAACAATTGTCTTGTAAATGGAATTTTTAAAGCATTCTGAATGTAAAAATAAAAAAAAAGTGTGCAAGACAATAAGAAACACTACATGCCAAAAAAAAGTGAAGTTTTGTCGAAATCGTTTGAAAAATGCATATTTCTGTAATCAAAGAACAATTTATGATTTTTACTTATTGAATACAGTAAAAAAATTGTCTTGTGGTGATTCATAATTAGAATTCTGATTTGAATATATTTACTCGTTGTTTTTCTAATACAAAAATATTAACTTTATTTGGGTTTATTAATTATGATCTAACCTTATTCATTTAGTAGCCTTTCTGTATAATAATCTTTTACAATTTATGATTCTTACTTTTGAATACAGTAAAAAATTGGACACCATGTGTATTTAAAAGTTTCCCGTTCGGTTATTATATTTAGTTAGGACTTGTGTAAGATTTCATTATCTTTGAATTTATCAAAATTCCAATCAGTAGGGATCATTAGATTATTGTTTAGGTTGACGGACACGCATGTCTTAAATAGTTTTTTTTTTTTACGAATTGGAAAACCCAAACTCAAACAGAAACATTGAAATGCGTCGATTGAATAGAATTTTATTATTTTGTCCTTTTATTTTTATACCATATATAAAAATAAAGGAAAATATATAAGAGAATATATATACCTGCCAAAAAAAAGTGAAGTTTTGTTTTATCGGCTGAAAAATATAGGAAATCCGATCCCATATTTAAAGGAACCCACACACACAAACAACCCGGGGATATAACAGTAAGAGATAGATCAAGTATCCACCATCATAAAGACTGAAAAATAAAATTGACAAAGGTTATTGTTTAAGGTTGACGGACACGCATGTCTGAATTAGTTGTTTTTTGGGGGTTTTTTTACGAATTGGTCAAACCCAAACTCAAACAAAAACATTGTTTTCAATCATTATGAGTCTCTACCGATTGAATAGAATTTTATTATAAACAATTGTCTTGTAAATGGAATTTTTAAAGCATTCTGAATGTAAAAATAAAAAAAAGTGTGCAAGACAATAAGAAACACTACATGCAAAAAAAAAGTGAAGTTTTGTCGAAATCGGTTGAAAAATGTAGGTAGCCTTTCTGTAATCTTTTAGTTTTACAATTTATGATTTTTACTTATTGAATACAGTAAAAAAATTGCATATTTTGCTTGTGGTGATTCATAATTAGAATTCTGATTTGAATATATTTCCCACTCGTTGTTTCTAATACAAAAAATATTAACTTTATTTGGGTTTATTAATTATGATCTAACAAATCTTATTCATTTAGTAGCCCACATAAACAGCACCAATAAAAACCGGTCACAGTAAAAACTAATGAAATCCTGTAACGCAGAAAAAAAAAGATTTGTAGCTTTAAAGAATGGTGATTTTTGTCCCACTCCCGTTTTGACATTCATTCACACAAGGAAGTCAGGTCAGTGGCGCATTGCTGGCTGTGTATGTGTTAGAAGTGGAGTAGGAAGATTGTGGCATTACAATCTTCCAAGGGATTTTAAATATGCCATGAAAATCAGCATTCAGCATATTCTCTTTAACTGGTTTGAAATACCAGTTACTGACAACCATGGATTAAGTGCATGATTACCTTGGCCATCACATCAACAGATGACGCTTCAGTCTGCTTTGAAAATCAGAATTCTAAATACTGGCTTTTTGAGAATCATATAACATTTCAGAATTTTATTTGGAATGATTCTTCAGCGGGATTTCTTTTGAAGATTTTACAGTAGATCTCTGCACGTATCAAGAAATCTTTGTAAGCAAAACTTGACAAATCGCATGATATTATGTAGCAAAAAAAAAGGTCGATTTATCATACTGGCGTTAACAGTCGCTGAAGAATTTCATGGAAACATGTCTTGAAAGTTCTTGGCGTAATTTCGAAGTTTGATGACTTGCTTCTTACAAATGTTGTATCTATAGCAACCAGAATTCCAAACATCTAAATGGGACGACTTAGACACGAATGAAATATAGACGATGAAACGATGTCTAAGGAAGTTCTCTTTGAGGAACTGAAGAATGATTGCTGCTCTTAGAATTGCCGGCTATTACACACCTCCTCTTTCCAAAGCAAAATAATGATACAGGGATAATTTGTCTGAGAGTGACACCAAATTCTTCGATAGATGCTTGTAGTAGTGAAGAGAGTTGATTGCTTTCGATTGGTTTCATTCATAGTATTAGCAGCATTTGAAGAACAGAAGGTCAAGAGAAGAAATTGAGAGGTGGAAGCGGCATGACGTAATATTCAATTGTTCTTGTTAATATTCAAGCATAGTTTAGGTTGGTACAAGGCGACAACAGTGCAACACCCAGTGAGGATCTATATCATTAAGTTAGAAAACAATACGTGAGAATAATTTCTTTAATGCTATGCTGAAAAATCCTCCTGAATAAAGTTTACTACATTAACTTAAAAAAACTCATCTGCCTGCTCACTATATGAATATCCTGCCATTGTTAAAGGGAACACTTCTCTGTTAAGTCACAACTACACAGGTTAAACGTTGAAACGAGACTAGCCACAAATGTACATGAATGACAAATGTAACCTAATCTACCTGACAACACTGCGCCATCTACCTGGATTTTAATCAGTCAAAAACGAAGGATTTCCGGGCATATGGACTTTTCTCTGTGTTTTGCAGTGAGGAACCCGCACCCAAAGTTTTTTTTAATTATTCTTCATACTCCCTGTGTGTTCTGTGTTTCTTCATATATTAAAGTGAATATTTATGTATTTCCATCAACCGGTCTGAATTGCGAGAATTCCTATTAGAAAAATATGCTAAAAATAAAGTTTTGAGTTATGCTATATTTATGGGTAAAAATGAACAATATCTGGACATGTATAAATGTAGACAAGGAAATGCTGTGACAGATACGAAGAGGACGAGCAGTAGATATGAAGTGAACAATAGACAGATAAGAACAGATAAGATATATAGATAAAAAGAGAACGAACGGTAGATATGAAAAGAATGAGTCACGACGAAAGCGAGCTGTAAATATGATAACGGACACTGAGACAGATAGATATGAAGGGCAGAAGCTGTAGATATGGAATAACAGGGATACAAAGATATAAAGAAAACGAACGGCTGCTACAAAAAGAATGAAACAGATAGCTGTGAAGTAAGCAATCTGTAAATATCAACAAAACAAGCGATAGAAATGAAAAGGGTTAAAGAGACATGAAAGGAACGATCACGACATATGAAAAGACTGAGACAGATAGATATGAAGAGAAAAGCGGTAGATATAAAAAGGGTGAAAAAGACATGAAAGGAACGATCACGACATATGAAAAGACTGAGACAGATAGATATGAAGAGAACAAGCGGTAGATGTGAAAAGGTTGAAAGAGACATGAACGGAACGATAGCGAGATATGAACAGACTGAGACGGATAGATATGAAGAGAACAAGCGTTAGATATGAAATGGGTGATAAAAAATAGACGGAACGATCACGACATATGAAAACACTGAGACAGATAGATATGAAGAGAACAAACGGTACATATAAAAATGTTGAAAAGACATGAACGGAAAGATCACGACATATGAAAAAACTGAGACAGATAGATATGAAGAGAACAAGCAATAGATGTGAAAAGGGTGAAAATGACATAAACGTAATAATCACGCCATATGAAAAGGCTGCGGCAAATAGATATGAAGAGAACAAGCAGTATATATTAAAAGGGTGACCAAGACTTATACGGAAAGTTCACGACATGTGAAAAGACTGAGATAAAAAGATATGAAGTTAACAAGCGGTAGATATGAAAAGCGTGAGACAGACATGAACGGAACGATAGCGAGATATGTAAAGACTGAGACAGATATGAATAGAGTATGAAAGAAAATCATGGCTCTCCACAACTTCCTATAACTTAACTTTAAGTATTTTTTTCTTCCTTTGCTAAAGATCTTGTCATCTTATTGGCTTGAGTCTTTCTTCCATCTCTGTTACCCTCAATATGTCCTGTCAGTTTTTCGTTTTTTCAAGCCCTCCTTCCGCTTTATATAGTCAAGGAATTTCAGGTGATTTTGATAAATCTTATTTTTGTTCCCATTTTCTTGAAGACTTGCTCCGTCCATGTAATTCTAAGTATCCTTCTGTAGAATATTTAACTATGCGCACTTATTAGATTTTGACATCTTTATTTCGTAGGTTGCATCTTGGACTTTTCTCTTTCTTACGTCCATACATTCTACGTTCAGTTTTGCAAATCCCACGATTTGGAGATGTGGTTAACGAGTTCGTTTTGCACCTGTTACTACTACTATGAAGTCAATACGTGTGATGGAAACTTGACATTGTCATGAGTTAAATTTAGTAAATATGTATGATCCCTATCTAGCAATGGTTAGCAAGCTAAAACTGTTGTTAGTGTGTCGGAGCTCCACTCTTGTGACCTTATGCCAGACTATGCTGAAGTTGGTAATCATCAATTGGAGCAGGTGTTTTTGTTTTCTGAATACCTGCATTAGTTCGCTGTGATGAGACAGAAGCGACCAAAATAGAAATAGTGGATGTCTGTTCCGATTTGAAATGGAACTGACCAGAGCTTTTAGAAAATAATCCACAAAGTGAAACCTCCAAAACTAGGCGACTGAATGGGAGATGAGGTTTTGAATTAGCAGAAGATTTTGTCCGACTTCCACGAAAATCTAATGAAATAGAAGTCATGACAGAATAAAGAATTCTTAATGATTGTTAGGCTTCTCGGATGTCTGGGTCGTCGAATCCTAAATCATTACTACGTATATAGTTAGCCCTCCAGGGCCAACGAAAATAAATCTGGATTTCGAAAAGGAAGGATAAGTAGATGTAAATGGAAACGATAATAACTGAGTACATTATTTTAGGTAAAATATCATACACACACACACATACACACATATATAGTTGCGAATTTCAGCAAAAATCTCTCTTTAATACATATTTTGTTAAACAAGGGCGACAAGGAACATTTTTAAGTTCTTTTATATTTTTGTATGCGAACAAGTCTTTTCCTTTCTGCATTTAATTCTGTTTAGAATTTGCTACATATATAGGGGAAGAGTGTTTCATGTGGCAGGATATTCATATCGCGAGCAGGCAGATATGATTTTTACATACAACCGCGCGAATTGTAATGGCTGTATCTGATTGTGTTTCCAAACCGAAGGCAGCCGAGTCATCCATCATTTGCTGTTGTTTAACGTCGCGTTGCTGAGACAGGCTCCGTGGCACCATAAACTATGGATCGAAAAAGACCGAGATCCGCTTGTACTCCTGACCACAAAAAACACATTCTACGGGTTGTCGGAGATGATTCAGGTATCAGCCCACGTCATGTAGCCCTAGCATGTCGTGCATCTCATGGTACAGCGTGGACGTACTTCAAGAGCAGCTCCTGTATTCGTATCTTTTGCAACGCGTGCACGGTCTTTCGCCCTCTCGTCACTCACCACGGGAGAACTTTTGTTGATGGTTTATTGCAGAAACTGTCGATCCGTTGTTTGTCTCTTCAGTCTTGTTTATAGATAAGGCAACATTTTTAAGAAATGGAATAACAAATTTATACAACCAACATTTGTGGGCGGATCGGAATCCCTATGGTACAATACAGGCTAGACACCAGCTTCAGTTCATGATTAATTTGTGGGTTGGAATTGGAGGTGACTGTCTGGTAGGTCCATGTTCACCCAGCAGGTCTTACAGGATCTGTCTACAGAGATTTTATTTCGAACACACTTCAAGACATGCTAGAGGATGTACTCCTGCTAATACAAAGATGAATGCGGTTCATGCATGATGGGGATACAGCACATTTTAGACACATTGTTATGACTGACATCTACTATAAAAGGTCGATAGGTAGGGAAAATCCGGTTCCATGGCCTGCATATTGTCCCGACCTCAGTCCTTTGGATTTTTATCTGTGGAGCCACCTAAAACAATTGGTTTATGCAGAATACATTAATAATGCAAAGTCATCTAAGTTTCATGGAACCTACGAAACCATTCGACACCATGTGTGAATATCTGAAAGGGTACGCCAGTCAATGATCCGACGGGTGTATGCGTGTGTAGAAGCAAACGAAGCACATTTTGAATATTTTTAGGAGTTGCTTTTGGACATGTGTTTTTGTATGGACATTTTACTTTATTTTGGTGTCAGGAACTCGCCTCAAAGTTTGTGAAAGTAGTTTTGATACACCCTGTATATCCCATCGCTATTAATTATCAAAGTTCCTCCACTCCGATCAGAACTGTTTATCCTGGATTTTTAATTTGCACCATTAAATTATGTGCCCCCATATATATATATATATATATATATATATATATAAAGGCTCAAACAGTAATGTTCCATTATAAGGATATTATTTGAAATTTGACATTCGTTTGTTATTTTTAGTGACTGGCGATTGGCTCCTAATTCCTTGGTAAAGGCTCCTAAAAAGAAAAAGAAAAGGAAATGAAACAACCTTAACCCCCTCCCCCTCTTTCAGTCTGGGTCCTCCATCACCACCAATAGCAAGTGAATGATTCCGGAACCCCCACCCTACACCATACCTCCTCCACTATCCTTCCGAAGCGAGAGTCTTTGGCCTGAACCCTTCTCCATACTTCGTCTAGTGTGTTATTTTTTATATTTTTCAGCTATCCTTGCTTGTGTGTATTTTGTTCTCCCCATTGCTATTATCAGACTTGTTAATTAAGCCCTTCCCCGCAACTTGGTTAATTTAGAATGTGCTCACCTACTTTGTTGCTGAGAAACTGACCCGACAAGTGCGAACTATGTTTTATCATCCTGAGATTTTTTTTTAAGTTGGTAGTTGACATGAGAACTCATACTAAGCGATAACTTAATATGAACTCCTTCATATTTTATATGTTTTTTTTTCTTTTTTTACGGATTAATAGAAATAAATAGGCTCGCCTATCGGCCAGCCCGAATTTATACCATGTCTATTGAACAGGAGTAGAGGTTCACCCCTTGTTCGCTGATCAGGATATGGTTTACCGGTAATCTGTGTTTCTTCTACCCGAACCACAATGATTTAACTGTCTCTACTTTTTGGGGATCAGACTTCCCAGTGACTGTAGCTTTCCATTTTCAGGGTATCAGTTTGGCAGCTTGCTGGCTGCTGCATCAGACTGATCGTTAGGAGCTTGAACTCTTTAGTAGCGCTTAGAGAGGCTTTTCCGATCAAGAGTCGCATAATATCCGGGTATCTGTTGTGCAGGTAGGTGTCACTGCATGTATTTCCAGTAGACAACCCTGAGGCCACATTATGCTCTGCTCTCAGCCACGTACGGGCTGCTTTGCATTACCATTGACGACAGATATTGACAATTATAGTGGTCCTTTTTCTCTCTCCTCAAAACATACTCCAAGGAAACCACAACACAAAGAAATACAACTAAACTACCTACCCCATTTAATTTTATTTTGTTCAATATTTATGGAATATCCGTTTCAACTTTTGCGGTGTAGAATCTTTTCTCCTGGAATGGTCACCAGATATCTTTGTCTTCTGTGAAAGCAACTTAAATTCTTCAATTGCTATCAAAGAATTCTTGGTTCCAGACATTCTTCCCTTTTGCCAAAAACATTCCAGAATTCACATGCATGGCCTTGGTGTTTACATCTGGGATAATCTTTCGCTGACTAATCTTTCATAAGCTTCCGTCTTCCACTACTAAAGTCTATCAGCTATTTCTTTTTTTTCTTTATCGCCCCCTCTCTTCCCAGGAATGCAGTATATTAGACGCCATAGCCGGAAGTATAGAAAAGTCACTTTCCATCTGCGAACATCTGTGTCTTCGGTGACTTTAATGTAATTGAGTTACTAAAGGAAATTAACTGAAACTGAGATATCCAGAAAAGGCATGGCACGTGGAATTAGAACAATATGTCCCTGTGAACTAAATAAAGGATTCGGTTCAAAATTTCAACATAGAAGAAGGCCGGAAGCGTACAACAGCCGAAACGTTGTGAATATGACAATAAAGTTAAGGATATCAGTCCGAACAATGTTAATAGTGTAAATAGGTACAATACATCATCTCAGAAATAGAGACAGATGTTGAAGGTGAATATGGCAATAAAGATGAAGACAAGAGTCCGAAAAATGTAAATAGTGTAAATAGTTACGATGCCTCATCTCAGAAATATAAACAGATGTTAATGTTAATAGTTGTAATCTTCGAATAATAGCATCTCCACAAGGACCTTACGCCATGGTTAATGGGTTAGGTGCTCACGACTTGACCCTGATTTTTTTTCCTGATAAAGGCAATTGAATTACATCAAGTTTTACGACATAGTTCGACTTCTAAGATCTGGACAAAAATACATTCCATAAAATGGTGAAACTCCGATTCTCCACGGCCAAAGACATTCATGGACCCAAATGTCTGAAGGAAAGGTCACAGTGACGTGTGTGTGTGGTTTTTTTATAGGAATGATATTTTTATGACTGTGTATCCTCAGAAGAGTCAAACAGTTAATTCAGAATCCTAAACTAACTTGATATGGCGATTAAAGGAAGTATTGAAAGACACATGTCAAATGAAGCTACAGGAAGTTTCCCTCCCCCCCTGCTTTTTTGTAGTATGACGCACGTGCACGTCAGGTAGGATAAGACGATTGATGCCTTGAAGAGGTTTCAAGTTCAAAGACCGCTCACCTTACTCACCGCTTCTTAGTTTCATTTCCCAAATCTTGAGATCCATTACAAATGGAGAAAATGTCCAAATGATTCATGAGGTCACCCCTAGCAATAGAACAGTATTTCAATGATCAAATAATTTTTTGAAGATTTAAAGAAACTTGTAAAATCATATTGCAAATATGCTGAACTTCCGGTTG